CCTCCCACTCTCTCCCTATTTATTTCAAAACCCCCTTCCCCTCCCCCTTTTCTGATGAAGGGTCTAGGCCCGAAACGTCAGCCTCTCTGCTCCTATGATGCTGCTTGGTCTGCTGTGTTCATCCAGCCCTGCACCTTGTTGACACCAAAAGCCAGTTCCCTTCTGGTGAATTTCTTTGCATTCACTTAATAGTTTTCTTCAGCTGTTATTTCTCCCTGAGGCACTGAAACAAACTAATCTCATTGTCAATTAAACATCTAAACTCAGCTTCTATCGGTGTTCTTGCCAGATTGTCTAATATAGAGCCTAATGTTTTGTTGAGGCTGTACAGGACATTGGTGAGGCCTCTTCTGGTGTACTGTTTCAATTCTGGACCCTGTTACAGGAAGGATATTATCAAGCTGGAGATGGTTCAGAAGAAATTTACCAGGATGTTACCGAGAATGGAGGGTTTGTGCTATAAGGAGAGGCTGGATAGACTCGGACTTTTGTTGCAGGAGCATATGAGGTTGAGGGGTAACCTTATAGAGGTCTATAACATCATATGAAATGATGTGAATAGCAGGTGTCTTTTCCTTAGGGTGGGGGATTTCAAGACGAGGGGGCATACTTTTAAGGTGAGAAGAGAAAGATTTAAAAGAAGACACGAGGGGCAATTTTATTTTACATGGAGTGGTTTGTGTGTGGAATGAACTTCCCGAGGCAGTGGTGGATGTGGGTATAGTTACAATATTTAAAAGATATTTAGATAAGTACATGAATAAGAAATGTTTGGAGGGATATGGGCCAAGCGCAGGCAGGTGGGACTAGTTTGGTTTGGGATTATGGTCTGCATAGACTGGTTAGAGGATCTGCTTTCTTGCTGAATGACTCTATAACACTTGAGAGGCTACTGTTTAAACATATCTAGCACATCCACACAGAGGCTGATTCACTGAGTTTCTGGATGTTCCTGTCTCTTTGTGTACCTGGAGAATCATGGACTTATAGAGATGAACAGCGTGGAAAGCGACCCTTCGGTCCAACTCATCCGTGCCGATCAGATATTCTACTTTAATCTAGTCCCACATGCCAGCATTTGGCCTATATTCCTCCAAACCCTTCCTATTCATGTACCCATCCACCTGCCTTTCAAATGTTGTAATTGTGCCAGCCTTCACCACTTTCTCTGGCAGCTCATTCCATACATGCACCACCCTCTGCATGAAAATGTTCCCCCTTAGATCCCTTTTAAATCTTTCCCTTGTCACCTTAAACCTATGCCCTCTAGTTTTGTACTCCCCCCCCACCCTGGGGAAAAGACCTTGTCCATTTACCCTATCCATGCCCCTCATGATTTTATAAACTTCTATAAGGTCACCCCTCATTCTCCGTCACTCGAGAGAAAATACCCCCAGCCTATTTAGCCTCTCGCTACAGCTCAAACCCTCCAACCCTGACAACATCCTTGTAAATCTTTTTTGAACCTTTTCATTTTTCACAACATCTTTCCTTTAGCAGGGAGACCAGAATTGAATGCAGTATTCCAAAAGTGGCCTAACCAATGTCCTGTACTGCCGCGACATGAACTCCTAACTCCTGTGGTTAAGAAGATTGGGCCTGTACTCATTGGAATAAAGAAGACTGAGAAGCAAGCCTATGGAAACATGCAAGATTGTTAGGGGACTTAATAGGGTGGATGCAGAAAGGTTGTTTCCTCTTGTGGGAGAGTCCAGGGCCAGAGTGGAATAATCTCAGAATAAGGGATCAAACTGTTTTTTTTTAACACTTTGCATTGTTAAGCCTGCAGCTCTTCAAGTCAAAGTTGTAAAACCTCATTAAAATGCAATATTTACGGACTCTTTGGCACCAAGCTACAACAGCAGTCAAAAATAGCTCACCACCTCTTGCTCCTTCTTGACAAATAAAATGCAAACTATAAATTAAAGTTTCGAGGTCTGATTGAACCTAATGCTCTTTTTGTACTACTTCCAGGCCAGATTGTAAATGCCATCGATAAGGCTGGTCTAGCAAATAAAACCTTGATACATTTCACCTCAGATCATGGAGGCAGCTTGGACTCAGTCGGATCGAATGGAGAGCACGACGGAGGCTGGAATGGAATATACAGAGGTAAAAAAAAAAATTCAGAACCAGAAATAGACATATCAAGTATTTAAGACAACAAGGTGCAGGGCTGGATGAACACAGCAGGCCAAGCAGCATCATAGGAGCAGAGAGGCTGACGTTTCAGGCCTGACCCTTCATCAGAAAAGGGGGAGCGGCAGGGGGTTCTGAAATAAATAGGGAGAGAGTGGGAGGCGGATAGAAGATGGATAGAGGAGAGGATAGGTGGAGAGGAAACAAACAGGTCGAAGAGGCGGGGATGGGGCCAGTAAAGGTGAGTGTAGGTGGGGAGTTAGG